AGCAGGATCAGTGGATCTGGATCAAGGGCTCCTTGATCCCAGCAGGATCAGTGGGTCAGGATCCGTGGCTCCTCGATCCCAGCAGGATCAGTGCTCAGCAGGGGGAGGAGGGATGGTGCGCGGGGTGCACTCAACCGCCTATCGCCCCGGTCACGGAGATGGACGGGGCTCTGTGCAGCAGGTAAGGTCCCGCACGCGTGGCTCATCTCCAGGCTGGTTCGTGAGTCCAAGTCTTTTTCACACGAGGCCACCAGTTTACAAGGAAGTTCTAGGGCTCGAACTTGTCTCTGCCTTCTGTCCACTCCCGTATCTGAGTGCCCACTGGAGCGGGATGCTCTCCAGGAGGATTTAGCACCTCAGGGGACGAAGGAACGGAACAGGCAGCTACCTTCCGGATCGTGACACCGACAGCCCGTGCAGAGAGCGGGTCCAATGGAGCGAGCCCCGCAGCCCATGGTCTCAGCTTACTGGGACTGAATGGTGTTAGCCCTGGGAACGCGGGCCTGCGCTCACGCCCTCCTCCTCCTCCTCATGGCCCTGTGTGGCTGAGCCGGGCTGCTCCACGGAGTGCAGTACTCAGACACGCGTCGGACACGGGGAGCACTCTGCAGGGACCCACCACGGCGCCTGGAGTGCAGCCCTTATAGAATCATACATTCATTGTGGTTGGAAAAGACTCTTAAGACCGAGTCCAACCATAGACCCTTCAGCACCCTACCTGCTAAACCACGTCCCTACGTGCCTCACCTAGCCCTTTCTGGAACACCGGTGACGGTGGGTCACCAGGGACGGTGACCCCAGCACTTCCCCGAGCAGCCTGTTCCAGTGCTTGACTGCTCTTTCCATGTAGAAGTTCTTCCTAACGCCTGACCCTCCTGCAGAGCGGCTTGAGGAGCCATTCCATCTCGCTCTGTTTAGAGTTCTTCTGGAGAAAGATCAGCTCTGTTCAGCTTGGAGAAGGGAAGGCTGAGAGGGGATCTCATTAACATGGAGAAGTTCAGGAAGGGGGATGTAGGGAGGAAGGGGCCAAGCTCTTCTCAGTGGTGGCCAGGGACAGGACAAGGGGCAATGGGTGGAAGTTGAGACCCAGGCAGCTCCATCTCCAGGTGAGGAGGAACTTCTGCACTGGGAGGGTGCCCGAGCCCTGGACCAGGCTGCCCAGGGAGGCTGGGGAGTCTCCTTCTCTGGAGGTCTCCAAACCCACCTGGACGCCGCCCTGTGCCCCGTGCTCTGGGTGTCCCTGCTGGAGCAGGAAGGTTGGACTAGATGATCTCCAGAGGTCCCTCCAACCTTGAACCTTCTGGGATTCTGTGTAACCGCAGGTGACCGGCACATACTGAAGGACAACAAGTCCCATTCAAGCAGGAGGAATCTTCTTTACTCAGAGGACTCGGAGCCCCTGCAGCTCCTCGGGGCGCCCTCCAGCAGGCCCCCAGCTAGTGCCGCCTCGTCCCACGCGCCTTCGTCCACCTCGCTGCTCTCCCGTGAGCAGCTCCTCTGCTCGGGTGCCGCTCTCCACAGCCAAGGGGGCTTTGCTGGAGGGAAGGGCTTCCTTGGAAAGCGCTGGCCTGGGGTGGACAGGGTCTCTCCAGCGCTCCTGGGTGTCAGTGCAGCTAAGGGATCCCCCCGTGGCCTCGTAGAGCTCACCGTGGACGCAGCGGAGCAATAGGTGGACTTGTGGGTGCCCCATAATGGGGCCGGGGCCCCTGGCGCGCGGTCTCGCGGGACGGAGGGCAGGACGCCCGGCGTTTCCTCTCGCGTTTCGGCCTCTGTGTAAGTGACCATTCCGGGCACGTTGACACGGGGCAGCCTGTTTCTTTGTGGGATCTTCTCTAAGTTCCCCACAGGTATTTCCCTTCGCCGTGGCCTGGGAGTGTCCGGAGCGGGATACGCCTTGTTTCCATAGGATTGCTGCTTTTCTGCCATGCACCTTCCAAAATTTGGGTGTGGATGGAAGTCAGCCCAACACCGACCTAAGACAGAGTCTACGACCCCGCTTGCTAACGTGTCATCAGCTTCTTCCCACCCATCCCACGAAGCATCTGCCTTTGGTTCATTTTCTTCCCCTACCTTCTCGCGTAGCATTTCCAGGATTTTGTAGACCGCGGTCTTAGCGTGATCATGGACTTGGGAACAGAAGCGCTGAAATCTGGGAGCAGCATCCTGGATAACACTTGCTTCATAGAACTGAGGAGCTTGTGGGAATGGTTTCAATATGGGTGATTGCCTTCCATTTGTTGTTGCTTCTGGGACCCTGTGTCCAAGCTGATTTTCTCCATTTTTTGCTAATAATTCATTTGAGAAGGTTCTGTGGGACGGCTGCTCTTGCTTATTATTGGTGACGGTTTCGGTAGGAAGCGTTGCTCTTTCGGAGAACGGGCAGCTGCGTTTCAGCTGAAATGCTACAAACGAGCCCAAAATGACGGCAATGCTCTCAACAGCCTCCCTGGCGACCTTCTCAACGCAGGCCAGAGAGGATGGCCAGTCGTCGGCTGGCCGTCGCAGGGTTGGGTTTTGCCCTGCTGGAGCAGCTGCCTCAGCAAACCTCCCCCAGATCCGGGCTGCAGGTTCTGCCCTATCCGGCAGGCTGGACGTTAAACCCTCAAGCGTATCCAGAACCACGGCTACGACCTCCTCAGCTGCCGATCCGACCTCCTCCTCCAGGTCCGCGCAGAAGGTGGCAGAAGGTCCCAGGCTTTGGGTGCCGCTGAAGCACCTTCCATGGAGCGCAACGTGTAAAGCGCATGCAGAGCAAGCCAAGTCTTGCACCCTCTTCAAGAGCTTCTCCATCGCAACCTCCGCTGCACTGGGGCCTCCTAGGGCCGCTTGCTCTTCCGAGGCATTTTCCAGAATACTGTCTTGAGGAGAGCCTTGCTCACGGGCTGAGTCTAAACCTCTGAGACCCAACCGTGGCAGCGGGGCACCCCCACTCGCCGAGGGGGTTTTGGAGGAAATTTGACTCAAAAGACACCTTTTTGGCAACTCTTCCCCTGGCGCCTTAGTCTGCTGCTGGAGGCGAGCGCTGTTAATGCCTGTTGTTCTGATGAGCTTTTCAGTGGCCTGCGAGGGAAGACTTCCCAAGGAAGCAGGTAGCTGCTCCTGGCCTGGGCTACAGCTGCCAGGGCTGTCTGGAGAGAACAGGAGCTGCTCTGAAACTACACCACGTTGCCCTTCTGCTTTCTCACCGCTCACGGTTGTATCCAAGATGCTTTCTAATTTGGACACAACTTGGGCCATCAAAGTCTTTATCTGGTTCATCAGGTCTTCAATTCCCTGGCTCTGCAGCGGAAACGAGGAAGAACTGTTCAGTGAATATGCTCATTTGTGCTGGTGACCTTTCCATTGCCCAAAGAGGAACCTGGCCGAATCCCAGCAGGAAAAGTTGTCTGTAAAGGGGTTACCTGGCTTTTGGAGTTAGACTTTCAAATGTTTTCGGGGGTTTTAGAGGATTTAGAGGATTCAGACACCTGGGAATGCACCTCAGGGCTGGGAATATAGGTCTCCTTATCTGCAGTCTGGCAGGAGCTGGTGGTGGCAGCAATCGGGGCCTTGGTGTCCTCCTCTCCTCCGATAGCTGAAGCTTCATCAGCCTCATTGGCTCCTTAGGGGAAAAGGAAATCAATGTGGAGCCACTGCAGCAGGACCCTCTGCGTCCAGAGCCACCCCTTTTGGGTGCCTAGTGGAGAGGGACACGAGGATGTCGTGGTGGGTGGCAAGGGGACCATGAGGCAGCAGTGCCCTCACGGCCAAGAAGGCCAACGGGATCCTGGGGTGCATTAAGAAGAGCGTCTCCAGCAGGTCGAGGGTGATTGTCCCCCTACACACAGCCCTGATGGGGCCACATCTGGAGACTGTGTCCAGTTCTGGGCTCTCCAGTACAAGAGGGATGTGGAGCTGCTGGAGAGAGTCCAGCACAGGGCTACCAGGATGATCAGAGGCCTGGAACATCTGCCCTATGAGCAAAGGCTGAGGGAGCTGGGCCTGTTCAGCCTGGAGAAGAGGAGGCTGAGGGGGGACCTGATCAGGGTCTGTAGATACCTCAAGGGAGGCAGTGAGGAGGAGGGGGCGGCCTCTTTTCAGTGGTGGCCACTGATAGGACTAGAGGAAACGGCCACAAACTGAAGCGCCAAAAGTTCCTCAGGAACTTAAGGAAACACTTCTTGACAGTGAGGGTGCCCGAGCCCTGGACCAGGCTGCCCAGGGAGGCTGTGGAGTCTCCTTCTCTGGAGATCTCCCAAACCCGCTTGGACGCAGCCCTGTGCCCCGTGCTCTGGGTGACCCTGCATGAGCAGAAAGCTTGGACTAGATGACCTCTGAGGTCCCTTCCAACCTTAAGCGTAGCCACCACGATGTCCGAGACGTGTTCTCAGTCTCCAGACAGTCTGCAGAAAAATATCTGACCTCCAGGCTTTGCCCACTGACGGGTGAGACAGGCAGGGGCACAGTGGGCAAGGCTTTGCGTTCCTATGGTCGCGCGTGTGAAGTTTAGTCCTGAAAGGACTTCCTAAATCCCACATCCGCATCCCTTGTGGCACACACACCTAAGTGGAGACTTTGAGGCCAATTTTCCACCATGCTGTCCAGATGTTTGCACTTGTAGGAGGTGGAGGTGCTCAGACCCACGAATTCATCTTTTCCTAAGCTTGGCTCTTCTATGAGAGGCATGGGAAAGGGCATCAACTGTACGAAAAGCTGCTCGTATCAGGAACAAACCACAACGGAGCTCCTGGAAGTTATGTGGATGTCTCCAACTGTCCTTTGAAAGGACTTTTCCTTTCAGAATTTCGGGCTCTCTACTTCCACCTACCACTGGCGTTACCGGTATTCCGGGCTTCAGCCGACAGGTCTGGAGACGCGTCCTGGGACCGCTGCTTCGCCACGTCTTTCCTTCCCACCTCCACCTCTGCGCTGGGGAGAAGATGTGCTTGCACTTTTTGGAGGTGATGGGCCATCTTTTTTTCCAGCAAGAGCTGCTCCTGCAATATCGAGCAAGAACAGTGTTGAATATTGAGCAAGAAGAGGGAAGAGGAGGTTTCTCTTCCACAAGGATGCTCTCTGAAGCTTACGTCTGCTGCTTTCCCCCCCAAGAGAGAAGGTTCCACCCCAAGCTTCAATGCATTTCCTGCCATGGTGATCCCACATCACAAACCTGTCCCGGATTTGGGACACGAGTCCCGGATTTTGGTCAGCGCTAAAGGGACATCTTTTGGCTTTTCAATACCCTTAGGATTTCGGTTTCCTTGCCCGAGGCGAGCTGGATGTTCCCTCACTCACCTTTCTGGCTTTCTCCTCTCTCCTTTTCTTCCGCAGTTGCCCGGTTCTCAGCTCCCGCTCCAGGTCCTTCTGGAGTTGCAACCAAAGCAGCAGCCCCTTTGCCTTCCTCTCCTGAGCATCACCCCAAAAAACAAAGGGGGGGCTTCAGCAGGGCCATGTGAACCCTAGAGCTCTCTGGAAAGATCTTCTCTTCGAGGGCAGGGCCTGCTGGACACACCAGACCGCGCGCGAGTCCCTGACGCTTGGCAGCGCAAGCAGAGCTCGCGGCCACCTCTTAATTCCCTAGGGATTTTCTCATGGTTGAGAGAGCTGGCATCACGATCTGCTCGTGATGGAGAAGTTGGTTGTCTTCATTAAACCGGAGTCCTGGATTTCACCTCTAGGCACTCTGGCTAGACCAGACCAAGGTCCAGATCAAAAGGCCTCCTACATCCAAACAATAGTTTTTATCACCTCTCACCTTTTTCCCCATCTCCATCTCTCCTCCTGGCATGCTCTCCCTTTCTTCCCACGGGATGGATAAAGCTGAGGAGAGCTCAGAGGAGTCCTGTGGCCACAAGGAATCCTGTGAGGAGAGAGGAACGGTGAGCAGCCAAGTCAGCGGGAGGAGCCGCGGAGAGGTTGTGGTGGCCGTGGCCAGAACGGAGCTCAGAATCCCAGAACCACAGAGCGTTCCAGGTTGGAAGGGACCTCTGGAGATCATCTAGTCCAACCTTAGGGACACCCAGAGCATGGGGCACAGGGCGACGTGTTTGGAGACCTCCAGAGAAGGAGATTCCCCAGCCTCCCTGGGCAGCCTGGGCCAGGGCTCGGGCACCCTCCCAGTGCAGAAGTTCCTCCTCACCTGGAGATGGAGCTGCCTGGGTTTCAACTTACACCCATTGCCCCCTGTCCTGTCCCTGGCCACCACTGAGAAGAGCTTGGCCCCTTCCTCCCTACATCCCCCTTCCTGAACTTCTCCACGTTGATGAGATCCCCTCTCAGCCTTCTCACTCAGGCCCAACTCACTCAGTGTCTCCTCATACGAGAGAAGCTCCAGACCCTTCATCATCTTAGTCGCTCTCCGCTGGACCCTCTCTGGGAGCTTCACGTCCCTCTTATACTGGGGAGCCCAGACCTGCCCCCAGTAGTGAGCAGCTGCTGTGAGGTGGGAGCTCCCTGTGTGAGCTCGGCGCGGGTCACCCAGGGGTGCGCCCATGGGCACCCAGACCTCGAGTGTGTCCTGCCAGCACCTCGGACACGGCAAGTGTCACGCACTGCTCTGTGCACGGTGGTGATGCCAACCCGAGAAGCCATCTCCACCCCAGGCACGTGAGCGCCTTCCGATGGGACAGAGGAGGAGGTTTCAGAGGGCTGAAACCGACAGCATTCCGGGTTCTCCCAGATGGCTTGGTCAGACCTGCTCCAGCTGCTCCTCTTGGGCCACGATCCTATCCACAAGCTCCCAATCCTCTTTGCCTCCCTTCTCCTCACAGTCGCAGGGTAGTTTTGGAACAATATAAAGGGGGCTGGAACTTGCAGACACCACAACTAACACCCTGCGGGTGTTAGTCTGAGGTCAGCCTCTTCTTTAGACTCCTCTGAGGTGCCACACAAAATAAATAAATAAATAAGGCATGAAAGCAGGCTTAAATCGGCAGCCTGGTTGACTGTGTCCTCTAATGTCAGCTCTCATGCCTGAGATGATGGCAAGAGAGCTGCTGTGTTTTTCCTTGCTGTAAAAAACGTGGAGTATTTTCTCATGATAATCCATAAAAAAAAAAAAGAATATTTATGCTGATGTTTGGCTAAGTGAGAGGTAAGTATTGAGGCTGTGATGATTTTGAAAGGTCTCCATTGCAGTATTTCCTCATCTCAGATAATTAAACCTTTGATATTCTGGGGTATATCCACTGCGTGTGCATCTTGCAGAAAGGTTGGAAGGACAAATTGTAGAGCTCTGCCTAAGCTAAGCCCAGGCTGTGCCCACTGGTTTAGATCAGAGCTTATAGCAGGGGAGTGTGGGGGGGTCAATGGGTGCCCGGACGCCAGGGCTCTTTGGAAGGGTGTGGTGGTGGGGGGGGTTAATCGGTGTCCTGGACGCCTGGGCCCCTCTGACCCCTCCCCTCGCCACCCCCCTCCGGACACCAGGGCCCTTGGGGTTCAGGGCCTTTTGGGCATCTCCTTTGGGGGCAAAACCAGAGCCCTTGAGGGGGAATGAGTGAGTTTGGGGCATTTTGGGGCAAATTTTGCCTGTTTTGGGACCGCCCAATTCCCCCATCCCAATCCCACCTTTTTTGCCTCAGAAGTGGCCCCATTTTGGCCCGATTCGCCCCTTTTCAGCACCCACCACTCACACAGCAGCTGCTTCCAGCCTCCTTTATTCACCAAATCAACCCCAATTGACACAGGAGGGTTAATTAAATGTCATAGCTCCTAATTAACCCCATTGGGGCTAATTAACAACCTGGGGGGGTGTTAATTAGTCCTCCAACCCCCCCCAATTGGGGTGGGTCCAGCTGCCATTTTGTTGGGCTTCGCCCACCAGGTGTGGGGGCCGCCATTTTGTTGGGTGCTGTCCACCCCGTGCGGAGGCCGCCATTCTGTTGAGTGCCGCCCACCCTGTATGGGGGCCGCCATTTTGTTGGGCATCCCCCACTCCGTGTGGGGGCCGCCATTTTGTGCCCGGGTTCCTGGGTGTTTTGAGGCCGTTTTTAGGGCGTTTTCAGCCCTTTTTCGCGGCTTTTCCCATTTTCCACGGTGGCGGCGGGTATTTCCCCGCTCAGGGGTACAGGGTGACCACCTCTGTGCCGGCACCCCGCACCAGCAGCACCCGCTCCAGCCCCTCCGTGAGCACTTCCAGGAACTCCAGGTCTGCGCCATGCTCGTTAAGGCTCCTTCGTGGCCTCAGCACGTTAATTAGTGCCCCCCCCCTTTATTAACCCCTGCCCCTGTTAATTAGCCCCCCAGGGGATTAACGGGTCCCTCATTTATCTAATTATCCCCCCCTATCCATCCCCATGGGGAACTAACCTGCCGCCCTCCAATTTTGCCTATTCCCCATCCAATTAACCCCCTGCATCACTAATTACCCTTCCCAACTACCTAATTACCCCATCCTCAATCTAATTAACCCTTTCCCCTGCTAAGTAACCCCATTACTTACCCCCTCAATTACCTAATTACCCCCACTTCTCCCAGACTGGGCACCTGCCTTCCTGGTTCCAAATCACCCCCCCTCCCTCTCATTAACCTCTGTTTGTGCTAATTACCCACAATAAATGCTAATTAAAACTATGAGATGCTTAATTACCCCCACAATTACCTAATTACTCCCCTCATCCCTCCAGCTTCCATCCCATTCCCCTTCCAATTGACCCCACATATCACTAATTATCCTCCCATCTTCCTAATTACCACATCCTCAATCTAATTAACCTTGCCCTGTGCTAATTAACACCATGAGGTGCTTAATTCCCCCTTAATTTAC